CAGACACATAAAGACGCTGGCTGAACACAAACAGCATCATGAGGAAGTTTGTGCAGCCCGGCACGACTGTCAAGCATGTTTTTATCTAGCCAGTACACTCAGAAAACCACACTGCGGCTTTTTCCAAAATACTTATTTATCTATGAATGGATGGATGGATGGATGGATGGATGGATGGATGGATGGATGGATGGATGGACAAATACTGTGGGTAGATAGATACTATAGATGGGTGGAAAGATAGATGGATGGATGGATGGATGGATGGATGGATGGATGGACAAATACTGTGGGTAGATAGATACTATAGATGGGTGGAAAGATAGATGGATGGATGGATGGATGGATGGATGGATGGATGGATGGATGGATGGATGGATGGATGGATGGATGGATGGATGGATGGATGGATGGATGGATGGATGGATGAATGAATGGACGGATAGATGGATGGATGGATGGATGGATGGATGGATGGATGGATGGATGGATGGATGGATGGATGGATGGATAAAATTCTACAGATAGACAGATACTATAGATGAGCGGTTGGAAGAAAGAAAGGATGGATGGATGGATTGACAAGTACTATGGATAGAAAAATACTATAGATGGGTGGAAAGAAGGAAGGAAGGAAGGAAGGAAGGAAGGAAGGAAGGAAGGAAGGATAGATGGATGGATGGATGGATGGATGGATGGATGGATGGATCGATGGATGGATGGATGGACAAATGGATGGATGGATGGATGGATGGATAAACAGATACTATATATGGGTGGATGGAAGAAAGGAAGGAAGGAAGGATGGATGGATGGATGGATGGACAAACACTACGGATAGACAGATACTATAGATGGGTGGATGGAAGAAAGGATGGATGGATGAATGGATAGATGGACGGATAGATGGATAGATGGATAAACAGATACTATATATGGGTGAATGGAGGAAAGGAAGGAAGAATGGATGAATAAATGGATGGATGGATGGATGGATGGATGGATGGATGGATGGATGGATGGATGGATGGATGGATGGATGGACAAACACTATGGATAGACAGATACTATAGATGGGTGGATGGAAGGAAGGAAGGATGGATGGATGGATAGATGGACGGATTGATGGATGGATAGATAAATGGATAGATGGATGGATACCATGGATAAACAGATACTATATATATGGGTGGATAGAAGAAAGGAAGGAATGAAGGAAGGAAGAATGGATGAATAAATGGATGGATGGATGGATGGATGGATGGATGGATGGATGGATGGATGGATGGATGGATGGATGGATGGATGGATGGATGGATGAATGGATGGATGGATGGATGGACGGATAAATACTATGGATAGACAGATACTATAGATGGGTGGATGGAAGAAAGGAAGGAAGGAAAGAAAGAAAAAAGGAAGAATGGATCGATGAATTGATGGATGGATGGATGGTTGTATGGATGGATGGACAGACATAGACAGATATTTGTGATGGTTCAGCCTTCAGTGGAAAACAAAGACAGAAAATCTTACTTCCCTCACTGGATCTAATAAAATAATTATCATTTTAAATTGTCAAAATAACTTGCGTTTTACAACAAGAATTTAAAACGTTTGCCATTAAACACTCCAAACTCCACCCGAGTGAAACTAATTTAACTTTTTTATCAGCTCAAAATTAATAATTACAGCCTTTATCAGTATGATGATCTTGACATATTCTGGACCACAGCCAAGCAAACACACTGAGAAGTGTTCATCAGATCGCTCTCACTATTAATCAAATCATGAAACGTTCCTGTCCTCTTACGACACACACTGCAAAACATTCTGGCAAGACGTGTTGGTGTTTTAATTTATTTTGTGCAAAAAGAGTGTGTTTAAAGCGGCAGTGTGTGTCACCTCATAAGACCCCGGCGACAACAGCAAACCTTCTGTGTAATTCTCTGATAGAGCCCCCTTAATTAACAGCATTGAGGAGCTCAGCCAATCACAGCGCTGAACATCAAGCCTTTCAGCTCGCTCAGAATGCATATTTTGTACTGCGGTAACAGCCATTGTGGGAAAATGATGTGTTGTTATCATAGTAATTATAACTGCGTGCTGGAGTCTGCTTAAACAAAGGAACTAAAACAGAGCCAGTTTCAGAAAGCCAAAGTTTTATGTCGAGTTAAAAAGAATTGAAGCACCGTTTACTCCATTCCTAACAAAAATGTGATGTAAATAAATAAGCGTGTGTGTGTGTGTGTGTTCATAAGACTGTCATAAGACCTTTATAATCATGATGTGACGAGTCATATATGTGAATGAGATTTTATGCATGCTTATGACGACTGTTATTAAGTGTTGTTCACGCTGTTATATCATTTTGAATGCAAAGATGACGTTGTTATGACGACTTGACATAACCAAATACATCACAACCTGTTTTTGTCTTTGTCACGACTTGACGTAACATAAATTGTCATAAACCTGTCATAAACATGATTGTCATGAGGCATTATAGATGCGTTAATTTAAATTCTTATTGGTAATACTTTACATAAAGGGGTGTTCATAAGACTGGTATGAAACCTTTATAATCATGATGTGACATGTTATGAATGTGAATGAGATTTTATGCATGCTTATGACGACTGTTATTAAGTGTCATTCACTCAGTTATGTCATTTTAAATGTAAAATTTACATTGTTGTTATGACGACTTTACATAAACACACCACAAACTGTTTTTGTCTTTTTTATGCCTTGACGTTACCAAGACAACAAGACTTGTCATAAACCTGTCATAAACATGATTGTCGTAAAGCCATTATAAATGTGTTCATTTAAATTCTTATTGGTAATAAGGGGCGTTTATAAGACCTTTATAATCATGATGTGACAAGTTATGAATGTGAATGAAATTTCATGAATACTTATGATGACTGTTATTAAGTGTCATTCGCTCAGTTATGTCATTTTAAATGCAAAGATGACATTTGTTGTTATGACAACTTGACTTAAACACATCACAAGCTGTTTTAGTCTTTGCCATGACAACTAGACGTTACCAAAACAACAAAACTTGTCATAAACCTGTCATAAACATGATTGTCATGAGGCGTTTTAATTGTTATGAATGTTTTTCAGTGTTATAAACTGTATTGGTCACTAAAATGTCTCATTAAAAAAGCGTTGTTACTCTGTCAAATCATTTTTAAGAGCGTCATTAATATTTAATGACATTTAATGACAAATTCAGCTTGCACCACTGTAGTGTTTATGACAGGTTTATGACAAGTTTTGTTTGGTAATGTCAAGTTGTCATAACAATGTCAGCATTGCATTTAAAATGACATAACTGAGTGAACGACAAGTAATAACAGTATTCATAAGCATGCATAAAATCTCATTCACGTTCATAAAATGTCACATCATGATTATAAAGGTCTTATAAACACTCCTTCAAAAAAGTATTTCCAATAAGAATTTAAATAAAGATGTTTATAATGGCTTCACGACAATCATGTTTATGACAGGTTTATGACAAGTTTTGTTGTCTTGGTAATGACAAGAACAGGTTGTGATATGTTTGTTTATCAAGTTGTCATAACAAGCAATGTCATATTTGCATTTACATGAGCAAATGAGTTTCCCAGTGATGGATTGCAGCTGGAAGGGCGTCCGCTGCGTAAAACATATGCTGGATAAATGGCAGTTCATTCCGCTGTGGTGACCCCAGATTAATAAAGAGACTAAGCCGACAAGAAAATGAATGAGCAACTGAGACGAAATAACACTTGTTATAAGCACTCACATTCATGACATGTGTCATATCATGTTTATAAAGGTCTTATGAACAGCCCTTCAAGTAAAAGTCTTATTTTGACATCCTGAAAAGGCATTTGTACCAGGCGTGATATAAAAGCAAGCCTGTGCTCTACGTGTGTGTGGAGTTGAGTAAACAAGTGTGTAGTGTTTCCAGCCTGCGCATTTCTCAAAGTAGATGACTTGTTGCATGTATAACACACACATAAAATAGGATACTTAGATCACACTGTAAAATAATCCTCACTTCCACACAATTGATTTGTGTTGGGACAACATGAAGGCATTAAGTTTACTTATTAGTGTTTACAAATGTAAGTGGATTGAACATAAAACAATTAAGTTGTCCCCCAAAGCACATTCAGCTCATTGTAAATAAGTAGTACAAACAGCAAAGGTTATATATATATATATATACACTTTTTTTTTAAGTGCAGCTTTAACAGCAGAATGAACACTACGGCAAAATGGCAGACACACTTGTAGGTGATATATTTCAAATGTATTACAATGCTTAAATCTTATTTGTCTGCCTACATAACTTTTAAGAATACTGACTCTGTGCATGTAAAATAAAATAAAACAAGCGCAACAAACACATTGCAAAGCTTTCGAAGAGATGCTCAAATCATCATAGGTATCAGTTGAAAAGATTCTCTCCTTTCCTTCCTTTAATAAAAAATAAATACTGCTGGAAGGGCCTTGCAGATGCACGCAGAGAGTAATTCACATTCAGCGCAAGCAAACAAACAATCTCCTTCATTAATTCCCAACTAGACCTCGTCGAAAATGACAACCCTATTAATTAGCTGCGAGCTCACGTCCATATATTCCCATTTCCAGATTGCCATTATGACTCGTGGTTTGATTTCACACGCAAAAGAACTGATGTGAAAAGTTGCATGTATTCTGCTCATGTGCGCCGCTGTCATTGTTCAGCCACTGATTATCCGTGTACATCAGCACTCCTGGGATGGATGTGTGTTATGCGGATGGCTACTTCAAACCGTTATCTAACCCATTATTATACCTCACACACACAACCTTTATGTCTCATTGGTTCATATTCGCTGGTGGTACATATACATTGAATAAATGCACGGCAACAGCTGCTGAATTATGAATGCATGATGATAAACAGCATGCCATAATATTAAAAATATATAAAAACATCTTCATACACTCACCATCTATTGCCCTTGCAGGAAGAACCACCTCCAAACTGTACAAAACCCCCAAAAAGAACAATCCGACAAGCAGCCTGCAAGCCGTGGAGCGCAACATCATATTTCAACAGGACACACAGAGAGAAATATGTTTATAAAAAGGCCAGAAACAAAAAAAGCAAGGTCCGATGATCCCTGAAGCTGCAGTCTGATGCGCCTCTCCAAATGCGCACTCTGGCGCAAACGGTTTCTCCTGGCACGCACGATTCACCTATTCCTTGAATGCATAGCTCGATCTATGGATGATCCGGGTCTGATCCTCGGCATCAAAAAGGCGCTCAGACCGATGCTTTGTTGCGGATGACAGCCAGCGCCAGCTCCGCTCCGAGCCGATCACACCTATGAATGCAAACCCCGATTCTCTCTGTTGCTGCTGGTAACACGGATTGGGCGAAATGTGTGGTCCAATCCTCTACTAGTGATGTTCGACTCGTGAATCAGTTCACTTCGCGCGAACCGATTCGCTATAGGAATCGTTGGTAACAGTTCATGGGAGATTAGATAGATAGATAGATAGATAGATAGATAGATAGATAGATAGATAGATAGATAGATAGATAGATAGATAGATAGATAGATAGATAGATAGATAGATAGATAGATAGATAGATAGATAGATGATTAATATGCTTTTATTTTTGTCATTAATTCCCTTTTACTTTATTTATAACTCTATATTCCCCTGATTAAATCTATATTAAAAAATAGTTCAGGGCATGCAAATGTTGTTTGTAAGATTAATATTGAATATTATTATTATTATTGGTAACCTGGCAATATTATGTTTGTTTTTGCGTATATTTCTGTGCTATTTTAATTGATTTGTCTTACCCTGTGGTTGTAATTGTACCAATTCACATTAATAATAATATTGCAAGATGTAATATTGAAGCATTTTAACATTCATCTGAATTATCCTCTTGCTGATGGCTTGTTTACGTTATGTATTACAATAGTTAACATTATATCTTTTGGACGATGACTCAAAATGAACTTCACAAATGAATTTTATTAACAAATAGCCTAGTATTTTTGATTATCTGGATGTATAGGCCTATGTTTGAGTAGCTTAAACTTATTTTTAAACTTGTTTTTGTTTATATATATTTATACTTTTCATAATTCAGGATTTGCATTCAAACTAGTTTATAGGCTATATAATGAATATATTCATGTAATGTTTTATATTTTGAAAAGATAAAACTCAATGATTGATTAACCTTTATTTTTTTAACCAGCGACCTTCTTGCTGAGGCGATCGTGCTACTCACTGCGCCTCTGCATCGTCCTCTTAGACTTCACAAAAGTAAATTAAAAAATTAATTCAATAAATTAACTTCATAAATGAATTGTATAAAACAAATAGCCTATGGAAAAAAGAGACCACTTGACATTTCTGTTTATCTGGGTTCACGATTTATGTGTTTGAGTAGCTTAAAATTTTAGTTTTATTTTGTACACCACTGGTTCTTTATTTTTTTTACTAATTCATATTTTCTTTGCATTCAAACTCACTTATATTCACTATAGAATAAACAAAAATGTTTAAAATGTAGAAAAGTAAAAAATAAGTGATGGAATAAGCTTGCTTTTCAAATCGATTAAACAAAGGTGTGTTTTTCAGACTAACACTGTCATATTTTAATAAAAATGCACAATATTTTTAAATCAAACATAGAATAAAACAAACAGATCTTCCTCAAACACACACTTAATGAATTCAATTCTCTTCATTTCATTCCGGAGCTGTGTGTTTTCTAGAAGAATGTAATAGAAACACGTGAGGATGTAAACGAACCGATGCACTGATCAAATGAAGCAGCTTCTTCGAAAGAACCGACTCGCTAGAATGAGTCGAACTTCCCAACATGAGCTCTGCTGGCTGCTGTGTGACGTCGGGAGGAAAGCTCCATCCACGAGTAAACCGATTGATAAGCGCGGAGCTTCGCTATTGGCTGGTGAGATGTCGAGAGAAGAATCCATCCAATCAGCGCCGCCTGCGTTGAGCCGACGCCGAGAAATACGACACCAGAGATGTTTTACAGATTTATTATTGCCAAAACTGAGTTTTTTAGACGACGTGGATTCTGAATTCTAACACGCAAACACGAACTTATATTGAAATACCTCGTTTTAAACAAAGGAATAATTATTTAAAGTAGTTTTTTTGTAGCCATTGCTATTCTCGTTGGTTAAAATAATATTCATAAGAACCACATAATCGAAATTTGTGTGGTTAAACATTTAATGTAACTCTTTTATAACATACAGATGTTGTATGTGAAACTTATAAACATAACATTAGCATGTTGTTTAATTCTCAACTTAAGTCCAGTCCTAAACACTGTAATTCCTTTTAATTCATCATTAAATGTACATGTAAACATGTTTTTAAGGGGGTTTGAAAATGACATGCAAGTCATATCTGGTTAAAGAGTTTCTCCCGTGCAGTCTTTGGGGGAAAAACATCTAAACCAAACCCACGGGTACAGTAATACGCAAGTAAACACTGGGATAAACATGTGCAAGGGTTGAGAAACAGCCTTTATTCTGCTCAGGGCTCACAAACAGCTCTGAATGAATCCGGAACAAAAAGGAAACTCTTAGCTGGCAACATTTGGGACAATTATTTCTTTTCTCCATAAAGGCAGAACTGCTTACCATGCACTTGGAGCTCAGCTCAAATCCTGTTGTGTAACTAAATGAGTTTATCCAAGACTCTCACTGTGACCAACTGAGCAAGTAAATAACAACTTTCAGTCCACCACACCAACAGACAGAGAAGAAGAGATCTATAATGCTGAAGGACACTGCAGAAGGGGAAAATATTCTCTGAGAAAGCCTGTATGAGCACTATTCACTGTGCTATTAGGAAGGAATTTACACATTGATTTCTCACAGGTGATTAATCCATAATTCAAATTACGCGTTGCATAATTACACTGGAATAAAAGATCTTTCCTATGATGAGTGAATATTTTACCACAAGGCGGTTTAGATTAGCTTAAAGGGCACCTATAATGCAAAAAAATCACTTTTATAAGGGGTTTAAACCCAGCTGTGTGGGAACAGTCTGTGAATATATCCAGCTTCTAATGTTAAACATGAATTAAATCTATTGTTTATAATCAGACTTGTCTGCAGAAACACTTTGATAGACATTCTCCCTTTGTACGTGTCATCAGAGAGGAAAAGCCCCACCCACTAGTGCCCGTCTCCCCCTGATTAGCATAGGACGGCAGTCTTGTTTTTGAATCTGCCACTATGCTGACACACAGGCATTTGTAGCTCCGCCCTCTTTTGAAAAGAGCACAATCTCATTTGAATTTAAAGCGACAGTCACCAAAACAACACAATTAGAAACAAAGCCTAAAAGGTTCAGTTTAAAGGAGTTAGAAAGCATTATTTGTGTGGTATTTTGAGCTGAAACTATACATGCACACTCTAGGGACATCAGATACATGCAAAAAGGAGCAAAATAGGCTCCGTTTTACCTAGAAAATTTGCAGAATCCACAACAATTCCCATGGAGATGCAGAATAATTTATTTAAATTTCATTATATTCATTTCAGTCACCAAATAGCTATTCTTGATGTTTAGATCATAACATTCAGCACCTAGAGTGTGGGTGTCAGCGAGTTTTTTTGGCTGCCTTGAAATGCCTCATAATGTATTTTTCACAGTGCATCAATGTGTAGACAGAACACTATTAATAAATAATCATGCAGAGAAATGATGTGCTGTGAATTCCAACAAATGTGAGAGGTTTATTTGAGTGAAATACTTTACAGTGAAGAGTACTGAATATAGTTATTATAGTTTATAGAGTTTATATAGGTCAACAGAAGAAATAACCTAATTCAAGGGTGAGTAAATAGTAAGTAAATCTTCCTTTTTTATCTCTTTAAAGAACAATGAGTTTTGTTGTTTTTAAAAGCCAAAGGAAGTCAACTAATTTACATTGTAAAAAGCAGCCTCCATAGCAGAAACAAGAAATACTATGGAAGTCAAGGGCTGCTTTTTACAACAATCTGAAATATATTTTCCTTTGTGTTCAACAGAAGAAAGAAACTTAAACAGGTTTGAAGCAAGATAATAAATAAAGAAAGAAAGAAAAACAAATGAAAGCAAAGTGTTCTTGTTATTTGTCTGTACATCAAAGAGAAGCATGATTGTTGAGGATTTAATACAGCTCAAGGTCGCCAATATAGTTTTAGGGCTCTAAAAAAGATATATAATTCTGTGAATTCCCTGTATGCATCAGCCCCTCTTTCTCACCTAAAAATCATCCTAACCAACCCCAGTGATGGTAGTTTGCAACCAAACACCATTTCTAGCTGACCTTAACCACTGACCAAGCAACTTTATATTTAAAAGACGTCTAATAAACTTCTAAACACAGACATCTGGGCTATAACAAGGCTAAGTTTGGGCTAATCTAATAGACATCTAATAATAGCCCAGACTGGTCATCAAATAGTCAGATTACACAGACATCAGATGTGAAACCATTTATTTCCATGTATTCAATGACTTTAGTCGATTTTTGGATTGTTGTAGATGTCGAATTATTTTTTCTTCCAAATATAGCCCTGTTTTAGCCAAGAAGCCCATGTTTAGATGTCTATTAGATGTCTATTTGACATCTTTTGAACATAAAAAATGCTTTCTGGGCCCAACAAGCAACTTGATGTTTATAATACAGGGCTAAATTTGTGCCAATCTAATAGACGTCTAACAATAGCCCAAAATAGACTGGTCATCAAATATACAGATTAGAAAGACGTGTTAGAATAGATAGATGTGTAGTCATTCATTCGCATGTATTTGATAACTTTAGTCTATTTTTGGGGATGTTGCTACATGTCTATTATATTATCACTAACAACCCAAGTTTAGTCTTGTTTTAGCCAAGATGTCTGTGTTTAGATGTCTATCAGATGTTTAATAGACCTCTAATTAACATCTAAGCATAAACGTCTTGGTTTAAACAGAGCTAAATTTGGGCGAAGATTTAATAGTTTAATTATGTCTAAAATGGAGTATTTTTGGACTATTGTTAGAAGTCTATTATATTTTCACCCATATTTGGTTCTGTTTACCCAAGACGTCCATTAGATGTCTATTAGATGTCTGATTGATGTCTTTTAAAGACCAAAAATGCTTGCTGAGCCCACCAATCATCTTTATGTTTAAAAGACATCTTATAGACATCTATACACAGACATCTTGTCTAAAACAAGGCTACATTTAGGTTAATCTAATAGACATCTAACAATAGCCCAAAAATAGACTAGTCATAAAATAGACCGATTAGACAGAATTCACATTCATTAATAACTTTAGTCTATTTTTGGGCTTTTGTTAGATGTCTATTATATTTACATGAATAACCCAAGTTT